GCGCAACAGGGGGGCCCGCCGCCGTCTCGCGGGATGAGGGTAGGTGGAGGGGGTTGGGTGTAGTCCGATACACGCTCGCTCATCCGAAAAGGAGGAGAAACAGCCGAGAAATCACCAACTCAATCATGGGGGGTAAGATGAATGTTGCTTTCTGTTGTTTCTTCTTCTCGATGTCTTTTATCATCTTGGAGATGGCGGCCACCAAGCGAAGGACATCGCCAAGAGCTTGGTGAAGGACATCGCTAAGATGATCGCAGACATCGAAAAGAAGAAGAAAAAGGACTCGATATGAACGACCGACACAGACACAGACAGACACATACACACACACATGGACCCGACCAACAACAGACACAGACAGACACAGAGACAGAGGGAGGGAAGGGGGACAGGGAAGGGGGACAGGGAGAGGGAAAGAGGTCTGGATGCGCGAGTGAGTGACAAGTGGCCGTCTGAGTGAGTGTGGATAAATGGATGGATGGATAACCGACTGGCTGTGTCTGTCTGTCTGTCACCACTACTGCACGGTGAGTGATTGAGTGGGTGCGATTAATTATCAACACCCCTGTCCGAACATCAAGACGCATCCAAAGCCTTCAACGCACGGGAACGAACACGAGCGTCTCTCTGTGTCTGAGCAGACCCCATCCACCGACACAACAACTAGCAGCGAAATCTACGAACGTCTGAACTTAGAGAAGGAATGTGCTGAGTTGCTGTGGGGACAGGTGAATGGATAGCATTCATACCGTGAGCAACAATAGTAGGACGGACGGCATTGACTGACTGTACACATACAAAATATGGCAGCATGAATCTCGGTCAAGAAGACACAAAAACCGAAACGGATAAGAGGATCTGTCCGTTGGTCTGTCTGTCTGTCTGTCTATCTGTCCGGCCTTCTGTCTGTCTGTCTGTCTGTCTGTCTGTCTGTCAACTCCTTTGTCCGCCTGCTGCCCCGCCGCCGGCCTCCTTGTAGAACACCTGCTGCGCCGCAGACACCGAGGGCTTCACCTTGGCCAGAGCCCTCTCGATGGCCGGCCAACCTATCTCGATCTCACCCCCCTCCCGACCCTCCTGCCCCTGACCCTCTCTGTCTGTGTCCGCCGACCACTGCTCGAGCGCTGCCAGGGTGGCCTCGCGAATGACCGCCTGCAGGTCGGCACCGCTGTACCTGCACGCACACACACACGCGCGTGCACATAAGGAATGGCGTTTTAGGTGCGTGGCTGACTGACCCGTCAGTTTGGTGAGCGATTTTGTCGAGTGTGACGTCAGATGCCCAGGGGGTTTTGATGGCCAGCCGCCGCAAAATGTCCTCGCGGCCGTGGATGTCGGGCAGAGGCACGTACAAGATCCTGAGGCAGAGGGGAGGGAGCGCAATTAGGACCCTTAATGTGTGTCTGCGAATGTCGGTTAGTTGGTTACTTGTCCAGCCGTCCTGGTCTAAGCATGGCTGGGTCGATGAGGTCGGCACGATTGGTGGCTGCGATGACGTACACCTCACGACGTTCCTACACACGCACGAGAGAGGGAGAGAGGGAGAGAGCGGGAAGGTGGATGTGGTGTAGGTTCGCGTATCGTCTCCACAGGATACATACACACCAGGATGCCGTCCATCTCTGTGAGCAGCTGATTCACCACCCTCTCGCTCGCAGACGTGCCTGTCACCACACACACAGAACGGTCTATCCATCCATCCATCCCAGCCACCGACCTTCAGCCGATCTCTTGGGGCACAGCGAGTCCAGCTCGTCGAAGAAGATGATGCACGGCGCCGACACCCTCGCCCGCTGGAACACCTCACGCACAGCCTTCTCGCTCTCGCCCACATACTTGTTGAGCAGCTCGGGGCCCTTGATGGCGATCAGGTTGGCCCCGCTCTCCTTGGCCACCGCCTTGGCCAACAGTGTCTTGCCGCAGCCGGGGGGCCCGTGCAGCAGCACGCCTGCGGGGATGTCGAGACCGAGCCGGTGGAAGATCTCTGGCCGGCGGATGGGCTCGCAGATGGAGAGGGTGAGCTCCTGGACACACACACAAACACATATACACACACATACACACAGAGAGAGAATGAGAGTGCATGTGATTGGGAAAGCGGCGGCGGCGGCCGGGGGATTGTTACCTTTTTGAGCGCTTGGAGTCCGCCGACTTGTTCCCATGTAATGTTGGGGATGGTGGTGAATCCCTCCCGTCTGGCGGACGGCTGCACGCACTCTATCGCGTGCTCGAAGTCCTGTTCCTGGATGGCGAGTGAGCTGAGCTCGTCCTGGCTGTATGTGGGCTTGTTGGGGTCCAGCTGGCTGAACACACGCTTGATGGCAAATAGAGCCGCCTCCTTCATCACTGATACACACACCACACAGACACACAGACGCCGTCTTCCCTCCCAGCCAGCCGTTCATTGGTCCCTCTCCGCCCACCTGCTGACAGGTCGGCGCCCACAAATCCCGGCGTGAGCCGTGCCAGCCTCGTGAAGTCCACATCGCCCGCCAGACGCAGCCCACGACTCAACACCTGACACACACGCCACACACACGACAGAGGAAGGCCGATGAACGAATGGCATCAAGGGTGTGTTGGCATACTTGTAGTATCCGTCCGCGCGCCGTTTCGTCTGGGATGCCCATGGCTATCTCGCGATCGAACCTATCACACACATATGGAAACAGACATCAACCATGAGCCTGTCTGTGGGAGGGGGGTCGCCATCCATGGAATGTATTCATGCTTGCCTTCCCGCCCTCCTCAGAGCTGGATCGAGGGCGTCTGGGCGGTTCGTCGCGCCCAACACTATCACAAACGACCCACCCTGCACAGTCACACTCACACAGAGAGAGAGAGACAAATAGAGAAAACACGATGGTGGGACCAGGACATGGATTTGCCTATACACACCAGTTCGTCAAGCGAGCTGAGTATCTGCGCCACGATCCTCTTCTCCATCTCTCTAGCGGCGTTCTCCCGCTTCGGACACACAGCGTCGATCTCGTCGATGAACACCAGGGAGGGCGCCGACGCACGGGCAGCCTCAAACAAACTCCTCACCAACGCCTCCGACTCACCTGCACACACACATACACACACACAAATGAATGTACTTGGGGGCTAGAGACGACTGCATGCTCACCAGACATGCCCGAGACGATCTCTGTGGCGGCAAGTTTGAAGAAGGGCACCTTTGCCGTGCCGGCGATGGCGTTGGCGAGCTGCGTCTTGCCCGAGCCGGGCGGGCCGTGGAGCAGCACACCGGTGGCTGGCTGCACCCCCAGGTGGCGGAACACCTCCGGATGCACCAGGGGGTAGATGACCAGCTCACGGATCAACTCCAGCACTCTGATCCACACACAGATGGACGTCTGACCTCTGTCTTTGTCTTGTGCGTTGCTGACGGCACCTACTTGTCGATTCCGCCCATATCCTGCAGCGTCACGTCAGGGATGGGCGCGGCAAACGACCGGTCCGACGATCCCATCATCGCGCCATCCATCTCTCTCCGCCGACCTCGTCTGTCCTTCCGCCTCTCGCCCTCGCTCCCATCGCCCACACGCGCCTTTTTGGCGGGCGGCTGCTGGGGCTTGGAGCCGTCTTGTGTGTCGTCTTGCTTTGGCTGTGGCTGTGGCTGCTGGTAGAGTGTGCGTAGGGATGAGTTGATGAGGCCGCTGCTGTTGGATGGGGAGGGGGAGGGGGGCTTGTCGTGGGTCAGGTCGACGGTCATCTGGTCGTTGTTGGACGCCGTCGACACAACTGGGTTGGCCTGACACACACAGACACACACACACGCACACACACACACAAATGAGAGTGAGTTTTCTTTCATTCTTCACCCATCGAATGCATGTGTGCCTACCGGTGTCAGTGATGAGTTGTTGTCGGCGTGCGTGTCCTTCTTGCCACCACCACCGTCAGCAGCAGTACGTGCTGTGGCTGTTGTTGCCATAGCGTCCTTGACCCACTGCTTGAGGGCTCCCACCTTCTTCCGCTTGTAGTCGGGATAGCTCTCCTGCAGCCGACGGGCTATCTCGTCGGGATCTTTCGCCAGAGCCGGCGAGTGCGCCTCCAGGTTCGCCACACAAGTGCTCAGACGCTGCTGGAAACGACGCTTCTGATCCATCAATGGATCTGCCAATGCTTTCCATCACCAGATCAAAAGGGAGATGCGCAGCCACATTGCTAAGCTCGCAGATGTCTGCGAGCTCTCAACCACGGCGTCCCGCCGCGCGTAGTTGTGACGATGGCCCAGCCTCTTGAAGGGTGCTGCATGGAGAAGGCATGATGCTGATCTGTCTGCAGTGGACAAGGTGACGCGGCTGCGAAGATGGCCTGTCTGGTGCTCGTCAGCGCGTTGGTGTCAGCATTTGTGTCGTCGGTGCAGGCGCAGGAGGTGCAGATTCAGGCAAGTGATGGCGGCAGTGCCCTGTTTGTGCTGGTGGTCGGCGTGGTGCTGCTGGGTCTGCTGGGTGTGGTGTGCATGCGGACGGCTGGACACTATGCATTCATATCGAGAGCAGCCGACACGAGGAAAGAACAGTGAAGCTGAATGAATGAATGAATGAATGCATTGATCAATCGACAGGGTCATGACTTTTACGACAGTCAGATGTGTGCGCACAAGCTTCGCGCACAGGCTCTACACCACGCTCACTCATACCATCAGACATGCACTCACCGACAGACACAAACTCCCCAGCCACACACCGCCGACCGTGCTGCCTCGGCCCGTCACACGCCCTCACTGACGACCGTCAGCGAGTCGAGGGCGGTCTGCAGCTCACTCGGGAGGGGGCAGTCGACTTCCTGCACGGCCGGCGGGCGGCCCTCTTGGCCCGGCGGGTCCTCATAACACAGCTTTGAACAGTGCAGGAACACACGCGGACACCTGACAATCGGAGCATCAGGACAATAATTCATTCCGAACAGAGGGATCGGTTTATCGCACGTACCAGTTTCTGTCTGCCGTGAGTGTGCGTGCGTCTGGTTGATAGGAGTAGTCGGACACCACTGGATGGCCAACACTCGCCAGGTGAACTCTGATAGCAAACATGCACACACGCACACACACACATCGGGCGGATGACACATGGCAGTTTCCTTCCCACCGACCCACCGACCCACCGACCGTATCTGGTGTGTGCGTCCGGTGATGATTTCCACATGGCAGAGGGAGTACTCATCGCCCCGCCCACTGCGGTAGCCTCTCAGCTTCCGCACGTGTGTCAACGCAGGCCTGCCATGTGGGTGTGTCTCCGAGACGACCTGAGCAGTGTTGGCGTCTTTGCGTGTCAGCAGACGGGCATCAACTGACCATGACACAGCCAGGGAGCGATGATTGGTGGGGTCAGTCGAGCCTCCCATCCACCACCCATTTCACAGCTCACTTGTGTGGAGCCCGTCGGGGAAGTTGCCATGACACAGGCAAAGGTACTCCTTGCGCACGAGCTGGGCGGCGAAGAGCAGCCTCAAATAGTGATAGGCCTCAATCGTCTTGGCCACCACCAGAGGGCCAGATGTTTCGATGTCGAGTCGGTGGGCGAAGCCGAATTGTCTGCCCTCGTCATGCGACAGAGGCGTCGAGTGCCGCCGCCGATACCACTCGGACAGGGGCTGGCCCGCACAGCCACATAGAGACACACAAGTGGACAGATGCCGACGTTCGGTGTGCTTCTCCGTTCAGAGGTACCTCTACGCTAGCGCTGCTCTCCATTTCCTCGGCCGATAGGCAGTCGGTGAACACTGAATGGACAGGACAAGAAAGAGCATTACACAGAGACTGGGAGGGGTGCCTTGTCTGTCCATTCTACCCCACCGTCATGTTCCTTGTGTCCCCTCCCCTGGCTGACAGGATTCACGACCCAGAATGCGGGCTTGTACAACACCTGATTGATGGCAATTAAAGCACACAGTGTCACGTATTGGTCGCCATTCTCATCCCATCCCGCAGCCTACCATTGTGTGTGCCGTCTCGCTGAGCACACTAGGGATCCCTCGCGGCCCTGCCACCGCCTCCGGGCTGCTCCTCTCCTCATCCACTCGCCCCTCACTTGTCGTTGTCGCTGCTCCTGCTGCGTGTCTGTCAGCATGCCGCACCACGTCCCCCAGCACACAGCTGGCGAGGGCATCAAACAAATCCCGCTTCAGCCTCTTGGCGTTGGCCAGCCCGGTGAGCAGGCTGCTCACATCCAGAAAGAACCGATCTCCATGGCCGGTAATCCGCCCCATCTGCACCCGTCGGTCCACCTCAGTGCTCAAGGCATCAAGCACCATCTGCCTTGTGTCTGTGGGGACGTCACTGTCGGCATAGGTGAGGACCACGGCGGACAGACAGGCGAGTGATACCGATGAGAGGAACGGAGGGGACGACAGAGGGCCACTGGCGAGGTAGGTGTGGAGCTCACGGCATTCGTCGATGAAGAGGCGCCGTGAGGGAGAGTCTGGGAGGGCTGATGCGGCCGCATAGGTCCGCAGACACGTGCTGATGTCGGCTGCATTGAGGCGGACGTGTCGACCATGCCGAATGAGGGATGACACGAGCCGCATGAAGCGATGGACATCGGCGAGAAGGGAGGAGTCTTCAGCCTCTTCCTGCCCTTGCTCCTGCAGCTGGTTGCACCGCACCTGTACGAGTGTTGCGACGCTCCAGGTGAGGTTGATGACCGCCTTGCCGGTCAGCCCCTCCTCTCTGTGGCCATGGCCACCCATCACCTTCTGCAATCGTCCCTCAGCCTCTTTCATCACGGCAGCCAACAGCTGAGTGGGATAGACGCCGATAGTGGCAAACGGCCACAGCATCTCGCCAAGAGAGGAAAAGGGCCACGTCGACTGCCTTGACGCGCACGCCTCGTCTCCCAGCCTCTCCAAGAACATGGTGGTATCTCCTTCAATCACAGAGGACATTGTGCGGTTCTGTATCCGCTCGTTGATGGCTGTAGCGATCTTGACTGACGCCCAGCCGATGTTGGAAAGGTTGGTGATGGAGAAAGACGGCAGGAGGGCCTCCGCAGCTTGCCATAGAAGAGGGAGAATGCCGTGACACTCGAGGAGGAACCAGTGGGGAGGGAAAGATGTGCTTCCGGCGGCCCCACTGCCCGGCGGATAGACGTTAAGTTCATCAGCCTTCATCGAAGAGAACGTCGCCGTGGCCCACATAACATTTGCGATATCCGTGGTTTCCCATCTGGCCGCCCCTCGCCTATCCAGCAGCTGTCGAGCGGCTCTGCACAGGGCCTTGATGAGCTCCTCGTCCCACAGCTTAGCCTTGGCTGTCCCCCACAGAACCATGGCCACAAACCTTGGAGAGCAGCTGACACAAGATGAGTGCGAGAGAGAGAGAAAGCTGAGCAGATGCTGTCTGAGGGGGGCATAGCGGCTGTCATGTGTCCACTGCGCCACCAAAGCAGACGAATCGGCGCCTTCAGATGTGTCACGCGGGGCCTCCCCTTCGTGATGCGGGTGCAGCCGGAACATCGAGCCTCTCCTGCGTGGGCGTGTCGGCTCCCTTGCCGCAGTGCTCATCTTTGCCATCCGCTGGAAGGCCGTCGCGGCATTGACACAGTCAAACTCATCGGCCGACAGGGCATGACCACCATGCTGCAAATGCGCCTCGATTGTCGAGAGGATGCAGGCGTGGTCTCGACAAGCCAGCAGCTGCCGGTTGATAGACCGCCGCATAGCCGCAGCAGCAGCAGCATGTGTATCAGCTGCGGGGTCCTCGCCCTTCCTCACGTTCCTCAGATCTCGCAGAAGGGTGATAGGTGGCTGCGAAGACACATCGTTGCAAGCGATGGAATTGGACGAGGTGGATGAGGTGCGTGGTTGAGTCGGAAGTGTGCTGCAGCTTGGTTCGAGGCGGCGCGATGAAGACAGCAGGGGCCGGACCCCTCTCATCTTCGCTCGATTTCCGGTTCGCCCATCACTGGCCGGGGGCACACACAGAGGAAGCAACGACGACTTGCTGCCCAAGTGAGTGAGTCCATGATTCTGCTGCATCACTTACTTGAATGAACTAGCTGAGCGTCGACCAGTAAGGATGAGTCACTGGCAGGCACCCGACAGCAGCGATCACTCAGCCTGGCGTCTTTGAAAGCATCGGCTTCAAGCTCGCAGAGCGATCGTGCTTGGATTGCACCCATCCATCCACAAGCATGGATCATGCAGGCAGGGAGCGTCATACGGCTGTTACAACAACACATGACGCGCCGGAATTCATTGCATGGCACATACTGGAAGGTCCTTATGGTTAAAGTTGATGTATCCATTGATGTAGAAGAAAGATGTACGTGGACGGGCCGCACAGACTCATACAGCGAATACAAAAATGCAGACAGCGACGAAGTCAACCTTTCTTTCAAAAGACACGGACAACGGGATATAAAACGCAGACAGCGATTATCTACCGCCCTCCTCTCCACACCTACTGCGGGACGGACGCCATAGCAAACAGTCGGCGGAGACCACTGCTGATTGCATCAACAAATTGTCCGTGAGAAACTCAGTTAGTAAGCCCGTGAGAGGGTCGGTCTGTGACCAACCAAACCACCCTCCGCCCCGCTCACCCACAGCGGCCGAGCTTTTCTGTTGATTGCACACACTGCCTGCCTGCCTGCTCGCCCCCATCATCCCGTAGGTACTTAGCACACCACCGCCCTGCCGCCAGCAGTGTGAGGCTGTGTGTAGGAGCGTGGGGGGCGGGCGACGAACCCTCAGCCACCGTCCCACAAATCGATGGATGGATGGACCAAAAAAGTAACGCGTCACGCAGTGAGATAGCGGCCAGTCAACCAACGACACACGACAGACAGACACCACAGAATTCAATGCAGCCGTGCCAGACAGACAGACAGACAGACAGACAGCCAGACAGACAGACAGACAGACACAGAGACGACACGAGGATCCACAGACAGACAGACAGACGTTCTCTAAGAAAGAGTCAACTCTTGCCGCAGTGGTCGGTGTGTCCGGATGGCACACGCGTGGCAATGGCGGCAGACATTCGACGCACACCAGACAGACAGACAGACAGACAGACAGAGAGACTGTCAGGGGATGGGTGCCCACCGCTCGCACCTGGATCGTCACGTGGAGGCAGCACACTGAGCGATGTGCCTGTGTGGTCAGCCGGCGATAGGTCGACGCGTCGTGGGACCGCTGCTGTGTCCCCGTCCTCTCCGCCATCGGCATTGCGGCGCTCTCCGTGAGGGACATCCGGCCGCCCGTCGACATGACATGCGCACTGTCATGGGCCGCTCTGGTGTGGGCAGGTGCGGGTGTGGCCCCTGCCTGTGGCGTCGGGTCGGTTGGCCTCCCCCTGGTCCTGGAAGGCTTCGGCGGCAGCGTCGAGGGCCCTGGGGCTGCACATCGAGGCAGGGCGTCTTGCTCTCAGAAGGCAGCTCGCCGTTGTCGACGGTCGGGCTCATCTTTCTTGACTGACTGAAGCCAACACATTCATAGTATAGCATGCCAGGGGGAGAGGGCGTGGTATGCGATGCGGGTGGCGAGGTGTCTGGTGCGGGTAGGTAGGTAGGTGTCAGTTACCTGTAGGTGTCTTTTCCATCATGGCCAGGCCGGTCGTGGCTATCTTCACGCGCCGGCGGTGGCCCTCTGCCCGCCCTCTTCCTCAAGCTGACTGACGTGACGCACTGCCTGCACAATATCAGCCGGACCAGGCCAAGAGGAGCTTGGGTGGTCAGAAGGAGGAGGCGGCCTTCTTGGCCGCCTGTGTGGTGGTGGAGGGGGGCGTGGTGTCTCCCCAAGACCCCGCTGCTGACGTCATTTTGGCGGCGATACCTGAGGCGACATGAACGGCACCACCGGCACACCGCTCGACCACCAACTGCACGCCTTCCGGGCGCACGAGGGCGATGTGCGTGTGGCTGACGACGAAGGCCACCCCGTCAATCATCAGGAGATTGAGCCCAGAAGACCAACGGTGGCGCGAGGTGGACCAGCTGAGGTCGACAAGCTCGAGCAGCACAAGACCTACGAGTGGGGCGAAAGGCGTGACGTCCCTAGGGGCGCTCAGATCTTCTCCATCCTCGCCGTGGGGACGACCAAGCCGGACGGACGGCCCAAGACACAGCTCGTGATCAACGGCAGCCAGGGCGAACGTGAGCACGAGACACTCCACGCTCCAACCAGCCGTACGGCCACAGCCAAGCTGCTCTTCGGTACGGCCCTGGCCAAGGGCTACGATATCGAGCAAGTGGACGTCGAGAGTGCGTTCCTGCATGCGTCGATGCCTGAGCAGCAGCAGCCGCTCCTTCACAGGATTCTGCACCAACACACCGACAGGCAGACAGACAGGCACAATTGCTCCCATGTCTCCCTCCATGCGCTTGTGTGCTGTGTCCCCTCTCTTTGCTTATGGGTACCTAAGAATTTCCTCTAGTGATTTTTTATCTCCCTCATCCGGCGCCATGCCGTCTCTAATCAACGTCAGCGCCATGCTGATGTCCGCAATCGCCTCCTCGTCCCCCTCCGCCCCTCGCTCCACCTCTCACTCCAAGCGCTTCTCCACACAGCCGAGCAGCCAAACGTACCGCTCCGGTGCGGCCTCCATGGTCACCACGCGGCTGCAGTCGGTGACCAGCTGCTCTCTGACGGCCGGCTCCCTCCGCAGAGCCGCCCACATGAAGTCCGCCCCCTCTCTCGCCGGTCCGGCGAAGTGCGCGTCGTAGAGGGGCTCACAGGACGACTCGCGGAAGAAGTGCCGGCCGTCGTGGTAGAGCTGCAGGTTGCGCCGGCCGCCGTCTGCATCCATCGAAGGCCCAAGCAGCACCACAGCCGCCACCGAGCAGACCGAATACACGTCGGCCGACCGGCTGAAGGGGCCGTGGTGGTGCTGCTGGGCTGTGGTTGTGGGCGCGGCGCTGCTGTCCTTGGCGACGGCGTCGACCATCGTGGCCACGACCCGCAGGGCGGCCGCGGGGTCATAGTGGGGGGGAGGGGCGGCGGCGGGTCGATGTGGTCGATGGAGGACGGCAGGGGGATGGGCTCTTCGGCCTCGGCGATGGTGTGCACCATCTCGAAGTCCACCCACCTGGTCGTGTGCGCGTACGCCGCAGACGAGGCACCGCTTCTTCTCGTGGGGACGCCAAATGCTGAACACACAGATACATTTGACAAAACAGCACAGGACAGCACAACAAAAATTTCATTGTGAGAGGAGTGAAAGACCACCCAGTGATTACCTCCTGATAGAGCCCATGCCGTCTCTGTCGACGATGTCGGCAGCATTCTCTTCTCCTCACCGGGCGTTGCTCCTCGTAAATGGGTCTGACGAATATAAAATGTAGGCACCGATTGGGATGATCCTCCTCCTTCTGCCGGCGAGCGGCCTCCTCGGCCTCGTAGCGGAGGATGCAGGGCGGGCGCCAGTCGGTGTCGGGGACCATGTCGTCCTCCAAGTCAGCCTCGTCGACATCGTCCTCGACCCGCAGCATCTCCTCCAGGCGCTGGTCGGCCTCGGCTTGGCGGGCTTGGCGCTCAGCTGCACACAGACAAACAGATAGACACAGAGAAGGGGGGGAATGAGTGCGATGACTGCACCCATCCATACATGTGCACCGCTGGCTCATGGACTTCGCGGCGGCTCTGCGCCAGGCGCACACCACCTCATCGGACTCTGAGGTGACGCAACTGTCCCTCCAAGCTGTCATCTTGGGCTCGGACCGTCACCCACCTCCTTGCAGGAACTTGCTCACACGCGCAGACACCTCATCCAGGCCCTCCGCGGTCACTTGTTCTGTTGCATACCCGCCACTCTCTCCTCCCCCCATGGCCCCATACGTGGCCCGACACGTCCTCCTTCACAGGATGCTGCACCAGCACACCGATAGGCAGACAGGCATAATTGGTCGCATGTCTCCTTCCATGCGCTTGCGTCTTGTGTCCCCTCTCTCCCATATGTGGGTACCTGAGAAGTTTGTCAAGGGAGTTCCTCTCGCCCTCATTTGGCGCCATGCCCTCCCTTATCAACGTCAGCGCCATATTGATGTCAGCCATGGCCTCGTCGTCCTTCTCCGCCCCCCTCTCCGCCTCCCACGCCAGGCGCCTCTCTACGCAGCCCTGCAGCCAGTCATATCTCTCCTTGGCAACCTCTTTTGTCACCATGGCGCTGCACTCGGCCACGAGGTCGGCCCTCATCGAGGCCTCCCCCCGCAGCACCGTCCGCATGGCATCCGCCCCCTCCCTCGCCGGGACGGCAAAGTTCTCGTCGTAGAGCGACTCGTATGGATCCTGGCGGAAGAAGCGCTGGCTGAAGCCTCCGGATCCATCCAAGGCAGGAGCACCACAGCCGCCACCGAGCAGACCGAATATACATCGGCCGAGCGGCTAAAGGGGCCGTGGTGCTGCTGCTGAGAGGTGGTGGGTGGGGGATTGCAGGTGGCGTGTCGCTGCTGCTGCTGCTGCTGGTGGCGGCCGCGATGGTGTCGATTAGGGTGTTGGTGACGCGGAGGGCCGCTGCGGGATCGTAGTGCGGGGGAGGGGGCGGTGGGGGGTCGATGTGGTGGACCGAGGAGGGCAGGGGGATGGGCTCCTCGGCCTCGGCGATGGTGTGCACCATCTCAAAGTCAAGCCAGCTCACCCCAAACCGCCCCTCCAACACGGCCCCTCCCCCCTCCCACACCACCAGCACGTTCCCGCCATTCGAGTCGCCGTGCACCAGCCCCGCCTCGTGGATGCGCCTGAGGGAGGCGAGCGCCGTCTTGACCAGCTGGCGGTACTGGGCGGGCGAAGGGTCCAGCCGCAGCAGAGTGTTGCGGATGAGCCGCATCTTCTGGACGGTGGCCAGGGGAGATGGTCTTCACTCGCACAATGGCTTCCTCGTACACGCTGACAATCGAGGATAGAGTCGAGAACACAACGGTTGCATTCCTTTTGGTGTGTTACCTGTTGCGCTTTTCCGAACAAGCGCTTGACTATGACTGGCGCATATCGCGGAGACGACGCCCGCAGCAGCTGAGCACACAGATACATTTGACAAGACAGCAAGGGACAGCACAGCAAAAACTTCATCGTGAGAGAAGGAGTGAAAGACCACCAAGTGATTACCTCTGGAGCGGCCGGATAGTGATGCGTCTCCTGATGAGCCAATGCCGTGTTTGGACATCTCCCTCGTGTGCCTCTGTCGACGATGGTCGGCTGGCCGGGCGTTGCTCCTAGTAAATGGGTCTGACGAATATAAAGTGTAGGCACCGATCGGGATCCTCCTCCTCCACTTGCTGCCGGCGAGCGGCTTCCTCGGCCTCGTAGCGGAGGATGGCGGCGGGGCGGTAGTCGGTGGTAGGCGCGAAGTCGTCCTCCAACTCCGACTCGTCGCCATCCTCCTCGAGCTGCCGCAGCATTTCCTCCAGCTGGCGGTCGGCCTCGGCTTGGCGGGCTTGACGCTTGGCTGCACACATCCAACAGAGAGATCCACGAGAGAGGGAGGGGAACGAGTGCGATGAATGCCGCGATCCACACATGTGCACTGTCTGGCGTCACCTTCGGCAGTCTCTGGGTCCACATAGGGGACGTTGGCCAGCGATGGCGGCAGCGGCTTCCCCTTCAGCTCCTCGCACTGGGATCTGCATACAAAGCATCGCAACACACCACAGTATGACCCGCATGCATTGGCCCGTTCCCCTCTCTCCGCCGCCTGCTTGTGAGTTCGACGTCGATGTGGTTACTGACGTCTTTGCCTCTATCGCCGAAGTACACCGATGGTGCGGCATTGGGCGGCACGCGAGGCAGACCGAGGAAGACGGCATCCTTGGGCAGATGGTAGGGCTGCACGTCGACGAATGTGGCGAAGAGTGCCTCCTGCTCATCTTGCATCCGATCGATCGCATCGCTACTCAAAAAACCTGAAGTGAGACACACATACACAGAACACACACACATTCTAGCCATGTCAGTCACCCCCTTTCTGCCATGCATGTCGGCTTACTCGTGTAGTGCGATACGAAGATGAAGCCCTCCACACCCGCCACAATCCACCTGTTGCGCGTCTCCGGCCGGCCCGGCAGATACTCCCCCTCCCGGTAGTCGTGCCACTCGCGGTCGAATGTTCCGTGTGTCTCTATCTGTATATGTCTCTGTGTGTGTCATGTCACTCGTCCATAAACAAGGGATCGAGCATAGCCTCGCTGTCCATCAGCAGCACCGGCAACACGCCTCTCGATGGCCCCACACCCCTCCTCCGTGGGCCAGGCGGCCACTCGTACTGGCGCTCGGCGTCCATGGGGCCGTCTGCGACGAGAGGGGGCGTGAGGGGGGGCTGCCCTGGCTGTGCGGCGCGGCTCGAAAGCTGCATGGCGGCCACCTCCCTCTTGAGCGGCTCCGTCAGCTACTGCATGGCGCGGCTGGTGCTGCTGAACTTGCGGAAGGGCCGTGGGGCGATGCACATCATGACCAGCCGGCCGGGCCGCAGCGCTCGCTCATCTGGGTGTCCCACCGGCTGGCCAGGGCGAATGCCGACACCCCAGCCGTCGACTCGGCCGTCATGGTGGACGGAAGGAGAGCGACGACCTCTGGCAGGCTTGGCGACGTAACGCGCTCTCGTGGCAGCGGAGAGTCGGGCGCGGGGTCGATGAGGGGCAGCAAGGGTGATGCCCCGTCTGATGCCCCCTGGCCGGCGGCCGTTGAGGGTGGCGAAGGGCTTGCTGGCTGCTGGGGCCCTTCTCCTCGTCCTCGGCCTCCTGCTCGTATGCCGCTTGTGGCGGCGGTGGCGGTGCTGGTGGTGCAGGTGCTGGTGCAAGAGGGGAGACACACACGCACATACGTCGCACATGATGCCTGAGCAATCTTTTCTTACCTGCAGGCTGTGTACTTGATGCTGCTGTCACCCCTGCTGTCAGGCTGGGGCTGCTGTGGACGCACCCTCAACTTCAGGCGCTGGCGCTGTTAGCGGAGGATGGTGCCTGAGTCAGCCAAACACATAACGTAAATACGATAAATTTGCCCACATACACGCTTACACTTTATGTGGGCGGCCACAAAGAGCCGCAAAGTACTCTGAAAAGACGCGATGCCCTCAGGGTCGATGTCTCGGAGGTTGGCGCGGCGTGCAAATGCGCGCACGCTGCATCCACTCGCTCAGTCCTTTGACGATCTCAGTGAAATCGTTGGGCGGCTCCGCATTGTAAAGCAGATCTCCTTTCGGCCGGTCGAGGTCAGCTGCATTCACACAAACCGACAAACCAAAGTCAAGTAGCTTTGTGTGAATGTATCTCTCGATATGTACCGGCGATGTATCTCTGTCGGAGCTCCTTCGCTCTCGGGCTGTCTGCGTGTCGCACACCAGGAAGGCAAGCCTCTCTCTCTCTCTCTCTCTCTGTGCGTGTGTAGCGCACCACGTCGGCCGGTCCCAAGAGCATCAAACCCTGCACAGGGGGGCTAGATCTTCTTGCAGGCGTCCAGATCCTCGGAGGGGGGCTTCGGCGACTGTTTTTTGGAGACACTGGGTTGTTTCCTAAGGGCACACACACGCCTTGTAGAAGGCCCGGTCACTCACTATCTACCCGCTTCCCGCGATGACGCCTAGATGACGGTGTCGAGGCTGGTGGCGGTCCGGTGACTTCTCGGGGAAAGCTGTGTGTGGAAAGGATGCGGAGAAATGTGTGCGTGTGTCAAGGTGCCCACCGCTGTACGCGTCCCAGATAATTCCGTCGAGGTCGGGGTAGTCTTCGGGGCGTCCTATCACCGTGCGGAGTCCCTTTGTGAGGAGGTCGAACGACTCCCCTGGCCTCTCGTCGCGAAGCCGTTCTCGTCGATGGCAGCTGCGATGGCGTGTGGGATTTCTGCACGTTGCGTGACACCGTCATGCCTCTCTCGGGCAGGCTGCGCACGGGTACGTGCACGGGTCACGTCAGCCGCGTCCCTGCTGGCCCCTGAAGAATGCAAAAAAAGGATGATGCGAGGACCAAGCAAACACAACACGGAAGTCAGCACGCGTCTGCTTACTTCTCGCCTTGGATCTCTTTTGCCCCTTCGAGGGCGATGGCGAAGGAGGGCTTCCTTGATCTTCCTGGGTGCCATGAAGTCGAGAGAAGGCAGATCTTTAACGGCTCTTCGCGTTCGAGGAGAAGGAGAACGGGCCCCAACAGAGCGGTCGCCACGCGGCCTCCTCCTCAGGAAGCCAGTCGGGGTCGTCATGGGCGGAGCTTGCGCGGTCGCGGCGGCCCTAGGATGGGCTGCGGTGGGGCTCCTTCTCCTCCTGCTCGTCATCATCTTCGTCATCGTAGTTGCCGTCTTCGTCATCAACCTCGGCACCAAACGCAGCGGCTGCACACACACACAGACAGACAAGACACAGACAGACACAACACAGACAGACACAACACAGACAATATCATGATGCCCTGGCTCGTTCTCAGCCCCCCATTCGCTACTGTGTGGCTCTGCTGTGTTGTCGCGTACCCCTCTCTTCTGCTGGCCGCCTGCACCCTGCAGTCCTCAGTCTGCTTCAGGAGACTGTGAGTATGTGTGTGTCTCGATGCAGCTGATGAGCAGTCGGCCACACTCAGCGCATATTCGGATGAAAGGACGCCGCGATATAAAACGTAGCCAGCGATCTAGCTGAAGCCGAAAACCTGAGACATCAACACGCATTGCTTTGATTCTCACTAAGGGTCATTCTTGACTCGAAGTTCATGAATCACCTGGGCAGGAAGTGCACTTGGTCATGAGCGTTGGCTGCTTCTGCTGCTGCCACCATTGCAAGAGGTGGCGGCTGCATCATCAAGTGATGCCGCGGCAGATGAATGCCCATTGTCATAGCAGAGGGCGGGAAGAAGTACGAATGGGGTGGGGGTGGGGGGAACGCCGGGTGTGGCTGTGGCAAGGGAGGGGGGTGAGAGGGGGGCTCGGGGTGTGCGGAGCGGTCCTCGTGAACGTGGCGCCGACACGCGCCGCTGAAGCAGGAACCGACAGGTGCACGAGGGAATCCCACGTGCACCGGCCGACTGCCTGCTCTGCTGCAATTGAACGGGCAGCTCCTTTCCACAACACCGCAATCGCCTTCATCGCCGCTGTCCACGTTGAAGTTGCGCCATCTCCGGCGCCGTGGTTTCCTTGGCGGCTCCGGCGAATGCGGCCGTGGAAAGGGCTGCTGCTCACGATGCATCGTCTTCATCATCTGCACCAAGGGGCATGTGTCAGCTACTTCTCCTTCACGTCCGCCTCTGACACACACACATACACACAAGAGGTGGGCGCCCACACACAAAACCAATACATACTAACTACTCTGCTCACTTACCCTGCCAGTATTCGGCGATTTTCCTCTCTTTTGCCTCGTCGTCGGTCCTTGTCACGTTCATCTGCACGGAAGACGCACACACAGAGAGACACAGACGTGCTCATGCCAGACCGGAGCTTCCTTTGCTCACCCAGTAGTCTTGTTTGGTGGTCTCGTTCTCGATGTACCGCCCGTGCAGCCGCAGGATGTCCGAGATGGTCTGCTCCGTCTTGTCCCCTCGGTCTATGTTGAGCAGCATCAGGTTCAGCTCCCTCACCACTTTGTTGACCTTGATGCCCTTCAGCCTATCTACGAGTGCGTTCGTGATGAAGCGGCGCACGTCGTGCTGCACACACAAACGGACGGACAGAGAGACAGAGGAAGACACAGTGAATGATCCCTCCCCCTCTGTGTGCATGTCTCATATATCAGTCAGCGCACGCTAATTTCCCCCCCTGGCACGCCCCACAACGCCACGTCGAAGCCTGTCCAGCAAACACGGCATACAAAGCCGTGTGATGCATGGGGCACACAGAACACAAGACGCGCACAGACGTGGACCAACGGCTGTGCATCAATGAATGTCGTTTTTCCCGCTACATGTACCTCTTCGGCTCCTGCCGATGTGGAGACATCAGTCCATGGTGTGCTGACGCCGGAGCCCCATTTGACGCATGCTGCATACTGCTCAGTGTCGTGGCCAACATCTGACGATAGTCATCCATACATGCATGATACATTAGTGAATGGGGAACGGTGTGCACAACACAGGGGTGCGCATGACTGACTGGCATGCCACCGAACCTCGCGACCCGGTAGGGCGGAAGAGATGATGCTGGGCATGCTCGTTGGAACCAGGGGATCTACCGTCGTTGGCAGCCCTGCATTGACGCCTGCACACAGACACACACACACGCACACGCACACACACCCAACACCTATACTATCTTTCTGTCCTTGGCCTGCCTCGTCTGCAGTGGTTGTGATGTTCAACTGCATGTCAGTATCTCGATCACAGACGTGCTCACGCCAGACGTTTTTACTGGCCGAATTTGGCTGTTGTGCGTTGCTTCTTGCGTGTGGGCAGGTGTCCGATTCGCTGCCTGCCATCGGGGGCGGCAGTTGTGGAGAGAGGGGAGGATGGCGGAGACACCGTTGAGGTCGACGAATGGGCCGTCGTCGGCGTCTGGACAGCCTGACACCACCAGACGCTGCGGCTACCTCTCCAGCGCTGCATCACACACACACCGACACAAACCGACAGACAGATGAAGCGCATCGGCGTCAATCGGACAGATACACACACACACAGGAATTGCGACGACTATGAGTGATGGTGCCTCTCCCCACGCGTCAGCGTCCGACCGTGCCACCCCATCGTGACCCCGTCAGGGCTCATGGCGCCCCTGCATCCATCCATCCATCCATCCAAATAGAGGGAGACAGGTAGGGGGGATTTTAGTCTTTCACTTACCGTCTCGTCCCGTCTCAGCGTCGGGCTCTGGTCGCCTGCAGAGCTCTGTCGCCTTGAGCCGGGCAGAGGGACGAAAGCAGGCACGAGCTTGCTCTCGTCCAGTCCAGAGACCGCCGCGCACGCCTCACCATCGGGGCCGCAGGAGGGGTCTCCCCTCCACCTCTGAAGACCAGTGAGTGGATGGTCGGTGGGCGGGTCTGGCAGCCGCAGGTTAAAGAGGTCACACCAGTGCGTCCCCGACGCCGTCGACGATGGTGGAAGCGTCGCAGCCTTGGCGTGTTTGGCTTTGGCCGGGCCAGGTGTGACGGCGGTGCTGATGCTTGTGCTGCTCGGACTGACCTGAATGGACCAAGGGACCACGCAATGACCGACGAAGCGGAGAAACAGAGAAACAGAGAGGACATGAGAGAGACACGAAAGCGACACGAACAAATCTATACATTATGCTCTTCTGTTTGTCTTACTTACCTACCTGAGCGGTCAGCGGAGAGAAAAGGCCGACAAGCTGCCGTCAGACGCTTTTCGCTCAGCTGAAAAACAGGACAAACAAGAAAGATTTCGAGTGCTCGTCACAGTGTGAATTTCAGGAGAGTCTTAGCCTTGTTGGCCATGATGAGATTCAGCAGTTACTGCGGCGTCCCACTGTCGTCGATGTCGCAAGGTCGGATCCTTCTTCTCCTTCTCGACGTCGTCAAACAAGCTGCACCACACACACACAGACACGCCAACCCACACTCTCACCCACCGTCTGTCTCTCGTGTCTCGTGAATGGTGCCCACTTGCAGCAGGGTTGGCCGTGACTGATCAGAATGTCTCCTCTCCAGCTGGTCCAGACATAGCGGCCGGCCTGCCTGCATCTACGAGCAGGCAGGTCAGACAGACATACAGACAGGCAGGCAGGCAGAGACAGACACGCACAAAGAGAGTGGAAGACATGTGAGGAACACAGTTGAAGACGTCACCCTCTTTCCCCTGTCTGTCTCGGCGTGCGTACCTTCGCCAAGGTAAGCCGTCGTCCTAATACGACCCAGCCAACGAACCCAACAAGGAAGGAAGCCCGTCAGTCAGTCAGTCTGTCTACGGCCGCAGCAAACAAACGGCAAAGCAAACCTTCACAAACAACAAACAAGAGCTAGCTAGCTACACATACATACACATACACATACACATACGTATGCTGTCTGTTTTGTTTTTCTACACATTCTCTATTAAATTGTTTGTATGCGATGCGTCTGTGTGTGTGTGTGTGGAGAAGCGGAAGAGTTTGTTGGATTGATGGTTTCAATTTAAACAAACTCCGAGGCGTGTTTGCTGCCGAGGCGTCGATCCGCATCCACAAGTCGGGGCCGGGTTTCGTTACCATTTCTTTGAAGCGTAGAAGGCCATGGGGCGGGCGGGCGATGAGGCCATGGGCGTCGATCGTGAGTGAGATGAGGAGGAGGAGGAGGAGGAGGAGGAGGAGAGCTTGGGCGCTTGCACCTACGAGCAGGCCAGACAGAGAGACAAGCAGCAGAGACAGGCAGACAGACAGACAAGACACACAAAGAGTGGAAGACATATGAGATGTAACAACCCTCTCTCTCCTGTCTGTCTGTCTTTACGTGCGTACCTGCGAGTTGGGTAAGCCGCCATACCACGAACAAACGAAGGAAGGAAGACAGCCCGCCTGTCTGTCTACGGCCGCAAGCAACACACGACAAACAAAAGCCTCACAAACAACAAACTAACAAAAGCTAGCTAGCTAGCCGGCTGCACACAAACATACACAAACATACACATACACACACACACACACACATACACACAGATACATACGTACATACGTACACGCATAGACCCACGTATGGTATGCTGTCGGTCTCTTCTCTGTACATTCTCTATTTGTTGTGTATTTATGCCACGCGATGCGATGCGATGCGATGCGTCTGTCTGCCTGTCTGTGGAGGAGCTGAGGAAGGAGCTAGGTGGATTGATGATTTTGATAAGGGCGAATTAAGGGAGGGAGAAGGCCGTCGGTGGGGGCGTATTTGTTGCTATGTTGCCGTGGCGTCGATGCGCGTCCACAAGTCGGGGCCGGGTTTCGTTACCATTTCTTTGAAGCGTAGAAGGCCATGAGGCGGGCGGGCGATGAGGCCACGGGCGTCGATCGATCGAGAGGGATGAGGAGCGAGCGGGAGCGTTGGCGCTTACTCCTTCTTGCTTGAGAGAGAGAGAGAGAGAGAGAGAGGAGACGATGGGGGGAAACTTTCGCGGACGCGCCATGTCGTTGACGGCGGCGCTACACACAGAATGTGCTCAACCCTCCTCCTTTGTTTCCGCTCACCGGATTTGCTTTTCCCTTCCTGAACTCATCTTGGTCTACCGAGGATCGATTCGCATGGTGGAGACACCTGAACAGCACAGAGACACACACACACACCAACACACCCACACAAAACAGACCATGTCTGCTCTTTCTGAGGATGGGCAATGGGCACGCACCTCTCTGTTTGGGGGTGGCGTCTGTCAGTCGACGCATGCACCACTTGACGGCAGCCGCTTTTGCGGTGACCCAAGGGAAAGCAACTCACGGTGTTTGCCTGAAAAAGGTGCGCATTCTGAATTTCTCACACAGTGCACGTAAGTACGGCCTACCTTCCTGTCGTCTATGTGCGTGTCTTCTCCTTATTAAAAGGTTGTCATCGTAGATTTCCTTATCAGCTGCAATACACAACAATGAATTTGTTCGTCGATCCACTAAATTGGTCTGCTTCCTTTTTTCCTTCGGACCAAAGGATTGCATGCCTGAAGCAGTGAACAAGGACATTGATGTGCGCAGTGAAGACCAGGCTCAGTGAGGCACTTACCAATCTTCAGACAAATGCGTCGAGGAAAAAAGTCGGAGACGGGGAAAAGAAAGAGGACCGTTCGTCTGCAGCAGACAGACCTGACGAAAGAAGACACATGGCAGCGAAAGAGACCATGCATTCAACCCTACCGATCATCCATACACCACCCCATCACGACAGCCAAGAGACATGACGGAAGACGGCACATTTTTATGTACTCACCTGAAGGAGGTCGTTTGAGGGAAAATCAAGGCGCGCGCACTCCGCTGACGCCAGGAACTTACCAGGCAGTCGCCGGCCGGTCCACAGAAGGCAGGGCACTATCGGGCGAGGCCTCGCCCGGGGCACGGCGGTGGAGGAAGGAAGTGGCGGATAACATTCGGACAAGTTGGGAGGGGTGGGAGAGGGCGAGGCGGACCACACAAGCCGAAAACCAGCTCAAAGGAAGAAGAAATGAAGGATCTGTGGCTGAAATGAGGCTGGAAAGCCGACCACGGACGGAAATTGTGAAAAACTGTCTCTCAATTTTTTGCGCGCTTGTCGCCGTCTCACCGCGCGAAAAAATCTCGCCACTCGAAAAATCTCGCCGCGCGTGCATTTCGCTTTCTGGGGACAACAGAAGGCCATAGAAGGCAGACCAAGGTCAAAAGGACTGCTGGTACCGAAGACGAACTCACATCATTGCGCGAAACCGCTCACTTTGTGGGATCTTTTGAAGCTTTTCGCTTTCCAGGCGGTGGAATCTGATCCCTCAGATCATACGTGGCTGTTCCGTGCTATTCCGTGCACAGGGCCTTCATTTCACCATTGGATGGCTGCTGATCTAGACAAAATCACTTGATTAGCCGGCTTTGTGGACCAAAACGGCTTGAATGTCTTGTTGACCTTCGCAATGGATGATTCGATGCCATGTTCACGTGTGTGTGTCTGTCTGCATATTGATGGTGTTCACCTTCTGGCCTTGCATGGGTCTCTTCATGAGGTGCATCGCCTCGAAAAACGCGTCGCCTCACTCACACTGCAGTCAATAGTTCAGACACCGATGCACCGATCCTGTCTACTCAACCTGACACACAGCGGTTCGATGGCCGGCACCAGGCAGATAGATTAGCCACCAAAACCCACGACAAAAGAGCAGTGAGAGCAGTGATGCTAGTGGCCTCCTCTCGGGCACCCATTTTGCCCTACGTGCAAGACTGGCAAATGTGTCTGTATCCATTGCGGTGAAGCTGCGTCGGCTCACAACGACAAGCAGCCACCAGGAAGAAGGCCACTTGGAGAGACCAGCACTCCCACTCCTCATATCTCCACAGCCGGTCGACGATGAAGTCACCGCAAAATACCGTCATGTGACCCTTGTGTACTCCAGTTATAGACCGTCACTCTCAGTCATCACAGCTCATGACATCCGGGGGTTGCATCTGACACATGCCGCATGCCGCACGCCATACCTGACACACACAAAGAGAGCTGGGCTGAGCTTCGGTATGTTTGGCTTGTGCGTAGTGTGCTTGCTTACTCAATCATTCTGACTCTTGTGTGTCCGCTCACCAGATCCGACGACACAAAGCTGAACCATCAGCGCCTCAACCACCATTTTTCCCTCCAGCCTGCACAGCCTGCACAGGAGAACAGACACACACATCGTTTCTAACATGATCATCATTTAGCGTCCACGATTGTCCTGTAAGCATACCAGAATGCTTAGCTTTCACCAGGATGGATGGATGGATGGATGGATGCATGTTTCATGATCACAAGGCCATCCCCTTACACCTGCGGATGCAAAACATGGATATGCATGGAGCTCGGAGACCTAGTCGGCGACTAGCGTCTTCTGTTCTCTACCTGGCTAGCCGCTCATTCTGGCTCTTGTCCACTGAATTGAACCATCAGCCTGCACAAGCATGGCCCACATGCTCTCAGCTTGGAGATTGTCGTGTGCGTGCACGATTGTCCTGTTTCCGTACCATGATGGATGCCATCGATGGGTGTGCATGTGGCATGCTGGGGAGGCCATCCCCTTGCACCTGGGGAGATATAACACGGAAATCGAAGCCATCCAGTGACTGTGACCGCCCGCCGTAGACGCTGTTCGTTGGCTATGAATCTCACCTGTTCGCCCTGATATGCGTCAGCTGCGAACTTCGCGGCTCTTCTGATGAGAGGGCAGCCCATGGCGGCGGGATGACGCGCCAGGTTGGATGGGGGCTCGAGAGAGAAGTGACTGGAGGAGGCGCAAGGGGAGGGCCTTTGGGGTTTCCTGCATCAAGGACATAGAGAAGAAGGAGTCATGCGGCGGTCCTTGCCTTCTCTCTTTGCCTTCTCTCCTCCCCCCCCTGACGATGCGAGCCAGAGGGAGATCGGCCTCTGACCCCCGTACTGGCGCTCTGCGGCCTCTCACAGCTGGGATCTACAGTAGCCTCGAGATGTTCTGATATTCGACACTCTTTTGGCTTCCCGTCGCGCGGCGGCGATGGAGCCGCAGACGAATCCGAAGCGACGGCGAGTGGCATGCACAGAGGTGAGAAAGGACACTGGCCGGCTGCTCTGATGAAGCGCAGTCACTGGATTGCTTCGTTTTGGTGTGCATGTGATGGTTCATCCAGTTGGAGTCCATTGTGAGCGTGTTGGTGGGTGCGAGGGACAAGTACGGAAACGTAGGAGAAAAGATCGACGCACTGCAGCGACAGGTGGGGAGAGGGGAGAGATGAAAAGGGCTCGAAGTCTCCCGTACCATTCTGTGGGCCTCCCTGTGCAATCAGGCTGGTGAGGTGCTGACGCTCAAGGAGAGCAAGGAGCGGACATTGGGACAAGACATGTGCCCTAACGTAGCCAAGGTGAGAGACCACAAGATGACACACATGGAGTGTGCTTTGCGTCTCTGATCTTTCTGCCCATCACGTGTGCAGATGGTGTATATGGACTATGAGAGGTTTAAGGTCCTTCTGTCCAAGATAGCCCCAGCCGATGCCCCGCCCAGCACTCAGGACATCCTCATCGGTATCGCTCAGCAGAAGCTCACTGCTATGCTTCGCAACCTGCGCCTAGATGTGAGGATGGTCACAAACTGACAGCCGCCCACGTGCACTTGGACACACACACACATACAGAGAGAGTGTGTGTATGGCACATTTGTGCGTGTGTGCTGTGCTCTGTTCAGTCGTTGACCCCGTCGGTGCTCACCCTCCCTGACGCGTTGCTGTTTGACCGACTCGGCCCCCTCATCGGCACCGAGTCCATCATCGGCGGCCTCTCACGGGCCCACTCATCCTTCCTGGGACCCTCCCACGACAGTGACATGCACACCACCATCGCATTCCTCGCCGACCGCGACATCGACCCCACCGATAAGCAGCTGGAGGCATGGCGGCCCCGTCTGGCCAAGACCCGCCGGGCGGTGGTACGGTGTCATATGAACATGAGCATGGTGAAGCTGCTCGACGGCGTTAGTGAGAGCCTCGAGAGTCTGGAAGCCGACAGCCACAGCGTCAAGCAGCACGAGGTACCCTCTCGGTGGCGTTCAGGCTATAAGAAGCCGTTGGCGTTCCCACGGTTGAAGACGATAGTGGTGGGCGGGCGGTGGGCGTGGGCCTCGTTTCTGCGCGGCTGGACACTCAGGTGGGTGCAAATCCAGGACAGTTCCTTCCAAAGGTCCCTACGCACAATCCGCCCCTGTCTGTTGGGTGTGGGTGCCACAGGTCTCTTAAGACCGTCGAGTTGCGCAAGTTGACTACGCAGGAGAAGACGGCGCACGACAACGAGTTTGGCGGTTACAACACAGAGTATGGGTGGGACTGGCTGGATTGCGACGCCGTCGATACCGTCACCCTCTCGCCCCTATTCGCGTGGGCTGCGCACGACGCGATGAAGCTTGTCGAGCTCACGAGCGTCGACACGGTGACAAGCTTCAGCATCACAGCGGACGAACCTGACCTGTACCCCTGGACCAATGAAGACGACGGTACGCCGATGGGGTCGCTCAAGGCCATCGAGGCCACCATCAAGCTCAAACAGATCACGCCAAGAATCATATCGGTGAGTGACCAATGCATCCACGCACACAAGAGGGATTGATCATTCTCAATGCATCCTCTGTGTTTCCTGCTGGTGTCACAGTCTCTCAATGCGGTTCACAAGTACTGTGTGAGCCCTGGCGGCAAGGAGGACTACAGCAGCAGCGTATTCGACTTCCCCTTCACCCTCCTCTGGCCCACACAGCCTGGCAGCCCCATCCGCAGGATCTACGACGACGAGACGCCCGCATTCGAGTCGTCCACCCTTACCCTGGCGGCCTCCCTCGCCACATCGGTGACATTCTCCACCAGCCTGGCAGAGGATAACATCATCCAGGCCTTCTACTTCCTCCTGCCCAAGCTGGTCTTCAGCTCAGCACGCACCCTCACCCTGCAGCCGGCCACAGACACCGACAACCCCCTCCCACAGCCACTGCTCTTCAACCTCGGCCGCGTCTTCCCGTCGGTGCAGTTCGTCGAGATGGGCAGTGCGCATCAGCTGGGCGAGGAGGCCGTCGTCAAAACGATAGACGACCTCCCATCGCTGCGGGTAGTGCGGTTCGCCCGCCAGCCCTCTTTTCATGAACAGCCGTTTTTCCTGCCGTCGTACCTGAGCAACTGTGCCAGTGGGGGGCGACTGCTGCACGTCAAGTGTGCGTTTCACAAGTGCCTTGACGGCAGTGAGAATTGGTCACTGTGGGAGGGGCAGGCAGATGAGGGCAGTGAGGATGGGGCGGGTGGGGCGTGTAGCAGCAGCAAGATGGAGATAGATGTGTCGGTGGGGGAGGCAGGGGCCGACAAGGGCAGCAGCAACAAGGGCAAGGGCATAGAGCATCGCATCCGGCACATTAGCGTGTTTCTCGCTACCAACTTCGCTGCAGAGGGCGGGGAGGGAGATGGGCGGACAGACGAGGGCGAGTTGCTACTACGTTTGCCAGTCTGGTCTCGGCTGTTTCGCACATGCGTCAAGGCCATCACCACTCTGCCCAAGCTAGATTACATCACACTCACCACCGACGATGCACTCCCTGTCGAGTCGTTGCACGATGATGGGGAGGGAGGCGTAGCCGAGCGGCTGAGCCCTCACGGGTTCGCCGCTGTGCAGACAGGCCCGTGTAGTGTTGAGCTGTATCGGAAGGGGCTGCCCATCACGGCGGGCCAGCGACTGATCACTGACTACTTCTCGCGTGTCGATAGCAACGGGATGGATGATCAGAGAGCGTACTGACTGGGTGGGTGGCCTGCTTGAGGATGTGCGTACTTGTGGAAGATTCCTGGCTTGTCATTGGTGTCTGTGTGGTGGCGTGGGATGCCGTTGTCACGTCAGTGGTGCCGGCGGTTCCTCTGTACCTCATTGAGACCATGCGTGTCGTTTGTGGCCATGCCATGGGCCATGAGCGATCCCAATGGCGTTCGATGAGGTGCAGGAGCGCATTTGGCCCACTCCACTCATGTGCCTTGCTGACTTGACGATTGCATGAGTCACTCACTGATCATCAGAGAGCTGGGGGCCACACGGATGTGGTGTACAGTTTGATGCATGCTTCCGTGTGCGCCTGCTGTATCCATATCGCTCTCTTGTGTCTGGCTGGAACGCTTCCTGGAGGGTCGGGGGGTCGTAGCTAGACGCCGAAGAGTGCGGCGGCACCGGCACGTGCCACAACGGCCGAGGAGAGCTATGGATGATTTCATGTCATGCTTGCATGTGTGTGTATGAATGGTGATGGTTTTCACCTTCATTGGCATTGACCCTCGGCTTGTGGAAGGAACCGAGAGAGACCTGGGTGTCCAAATGACACCTAGGTCAATCACGACACACACTGTGTGGCCACATGACACACACACACTCAGAGAGAGAGAGAGAGAGAGAGGGAGAGACGGAAACAGGCTACCAGATCCTCTGTCTGTGTCGGTCGATCCATCCTTCTTCTTCTCGATGTCTTTGATCATCTTGGCGATGGCGGCCACCAAGCGAAGGACATCGCCAAGAGCTTGGTGAAGGACATCGCTAAGATGATCGCAGACATCGAGAAGAAGAAGAAGAAGAAGAAGAAGAAAAAGGACTCGATGTGAACGACCGACACAGACACAGACAGACACAGAGACAGAGGGAGGGAAGGGGGACAGGGAGAGGGATAGAGGTCTGGATGCGCGAGTGAGTGACAAGTGGCCGTCTGAGTGAGTGTGGACCAATGGATGCACGAATGGATGGATGGATGGATACTGCCTGACTGGCTGACGCGTCTGTCTGTCTGTCACCACTACTGCATGGTGAGTGAGTGAGTGAGTGCGATTAATTATCAACACCACTGTCCGAACATCAAGACGCATCCAAAACCTTCAACGCATGGGAACGAACACAAGCGTCTCTCTGTGTCTGAGCAGACCCCATCCACCTACACAACTAACTAGGGAAAGCTGACCACTTTGTGTACACGAAGACGGCAACCTCAAGGGCTTCGAGGTCATCGACCCGAGTGAGATACCTGGCGTAAGCAAGAATAGTCCGACGTTCATCCGCTATTCTTACTGACACCGGGTATTTCGCTGGGGTTGATCACCTCTGTCGCTCGCTGAAGGTCTGTATATGCAGTGTGTGTCCCTTTTTTGTCTTCACTGCCTTGGCTGCCTCAAGGGCTTCGACGTACGTCATCACGCACCCCATCGTCTGTGAGCACGATGAGCACACATGACTCACACACACGTCTTCTCACACAGACAGATACACAGACACCCTCCCTCTCCAGTGAGCCCTCACATTTCGCCCACACACTAGTCTGGCTTTGGCAACAGGCCCCTCTCGTACTCCGGCAGATCCTCACTGCTCACAGCCGCTTTCCCGCCCGTCACATACGGGCGTGCCTCCCAGCTCCTCCGGTCGTGTCCCCGACGCCTGTGTCTCCTCTTGCCCCTCGCCGCCTTGGGCCGCTCGGTCGTCTTTCCTTGGTCAGCAGCACAGGCCTCGATGGCGGCTGTGGGGGGCTGTGCAGGGGGGAGGGCAGGGGAGGGCTCGCATACACGGGCATCTGCATCTCCGTCAGCCGCTGCGGCCATGGCCCTGTCAACGTTGGCCTCGAAGTTGCTGACGAAGGCCTTGGCGTCCATGACGGCAGACGAGGAGGAACCGCCACGACGACCAGTCCTGAAAAGGAAAGATGGGGACAGCAGCAATCCGTTAGCTGGAAGTGTTTTTCGCGTCAACCCGTGCCACCCATCCGATCCCCACCTGCTGCGCAGCTGCATCTTGCCGGTGCTGCCCACAGGTGTGTGCTGACGCACCCTGGGGCTCCTCCCATCCTCCCCGTCGCCCGCTTTGCGCTTCCTGCTCTTGTTTGCCTCTTCCGTATCGATGAGCTGCACAGCTCGGCCCTTCCTGGGCGGCAGGGAGTCCAGCCACTTGCTGTTGCTGCCTTGCCGTGTGCTGACGGAGGGGACAGCTGGCAGGCCGGCAGCAGGGGGGAGAGAGGGCTGGGAGGGCGCTGGGGTGGCTTCCTCAATGGATTGTGACGGAGGAGGAGGCGGCGGCGGCGGGTCAGCACCGTTGTCTGTCGACGCAGCAGCAGGGGCACTCTCCCGCCACTTCAGTGCGATCCGCTCGCAGATGCTGCCGTGGCGGCGCCTCGCGCACTCCTGGACTGACGCAGACACGCGAGGAGGTGCGCAGCGATACCTCAACAGAGCGGTGGACGCCTGACCACCGCACACAAAATACGGTCAGCGAATGTGTAGATGTATTGCGTGTGAGACCTACGCACCTCGTGTAAGCATCGGGTGACCTCGTCGGATCCCTCCCCTCCGCCTAGCAGTGCCTTCCGCAGCGCTGCCCTCAGCCCGCCGCCACTCGACGCCCCATTCATAGACCCGTTTGGTTGCGACAGCGACGGAGGTTGGCGTTCTGCAGGGCTCTCAGAGCAGGTAACAGACGCGGCTGTGGCCACCTTGGGTGAGGACATGTGGTCGCCATGTTTCGACAGCCGGCCGTGGAGGGGAAGTGACCTGCAGGAAACACACAGGGCATCGAAAATCACCGAGTAACTCGGCAATGTGTAAGTTGTGTTCTTACCGGTTGAACAGCCTCCACCGCTCTCTGTCCTCCTGCGCCTCAGGGCACTCCCGCAGCCTTTGCGCCTCATTAAGCACACACGCTGACCTGATCGATGGACGAATGGCAGCGCACAGACCCATGTCATGAGATCCTGTCTGTGCGTGACAAGTTAGTCTTCTGTGGCTTACGTGATGTGTTCCATCGAAGAGTCATTGACGTCGGGCAAAGAGGGCAGCGTGAGGTAGTCGATGAGGCCCTCATCACCATCACCGTGCATCAGGCCGTCCTGTTGCATGTTCCTCAGCGTGTCCTCGATAGATGATGGCTCATCACCATATGATAGTACGAAATCCTTGTCGGCATCTTCCATCGCGCACCCGATGACCTCACAGTTCCTCTCTCCAGAGCAGCAGCAGCGGCGGTTTCACACCGCACCCTAGGCGTGCGAGCTTTGTGACGAGGAGGCGAACAAACGCCTGCATTCGTAGAAGGACAGCTCTCTTTGGCGTGACGACCTCCCTGCCAAACTCTCAGTCCGAGAACTATCCGTCCAAGAATCACCCCCTTGTGTTTCGTGTGGCCGCCACATCGCCTCGGCGCATGTGTGTGCCATGCTGAGCCAGCCCTCGCACCTCCCCGTCCTGTCATCCGCCGACAGACACACACCTGACCCGCGAGGCAGCACCAACGGGGCAGCTCAGCTGATGGAGAGCCGCGTTGGGAACGCAGAGAGTCGTGGCGGACATGCGGGGGGGTCCTCAGCCTCCGCTGACGTCGCCATGCAGCAGCACGACTCCCCTGCGCGGCGCCGGGGAGTAGCCGGAGGGCATGACCCCGTTGTTGTTGTCGAAGGCGGTGTCCACATGGGCCGTTTGGGGACTCCAGTGCCCTCATCGCAGCTGCATAACCATCATGACGTAAGGAGGGAGGGAGGGAGGGAGGCATTAGTGGATGGGCTCATGCACACGCGCATCGGTGTTGCTTTCTTCCCTCCCTCAGGTAGACGCGCCGATGTCTCTCTCGGCGCCGCCCTTGCCCTCAAGGATTCCCGTGTTGCCGCCCCCAGAGGATCCGGTTGAGGTGGACGTCGTCCCCGGCAACGACGCCAACTGCACAACGTCACCCGCTCACCCCGAGCCCCTTTCTCACCCCCCTCACTCCCAACAGCCACACCCAGCCATGGCGTTCCCCCCACCCCCACCCCATCCGTATTTCTTCCCGCCCTGCTTCATGCCGCCACAGGGCATGTATCTGCCGCCGCATCACCTGATGATGCAACCGCCGCCGGTGCCAATGGCAGCACCAGCCAGCTCAAGGGCCGCGGGTGCGCATCCGATGCCCACGTCAGCCGAGGAGGTGATGCGGGCGCACGAGGGCCACATGAGCATCGGGAGGGAGGTCGGGCCGCCCAGGGCGTCGGGTGGTGTGGGGCCACGGCCGCCCACGATCGTCTCACCGAGGAGCCGCGGGAAGAGGACACCGCCCGCATCCGCCACGGATGGCACACAGATCGCCGACGACAAGAACGACCAGCATGGTAAGCAATGGGAAGCGATCGAAAAGCAGTCAACTCCACTCATCTCTCGTGTGTCATGGTGTGCCCTCAGGTTCGTTCTCTGCAGCTGCGGCTGCGTCTAGCGGTGGTCCAGCCCCATCCCTCCCCCTCCCCCACCCCTCTCACCTTTATCCCATTCCCACCAGTGGTGACGCGGCCGACCCAATGGCCAACCCGGCCCTCCCCCACCTACTGCCCCCACAGCAGCCCGCCACGTCAACCTGCCAAGACACCACCACCAACACCACAGCGGCCATGGCCATGGCCCTGCTCCATCACCGATGGGCCCAGCAGAACAACGCCTTCCTCCGTGACAAGTTCGCTCACCCTGAAGAGATCCTCCGCTTCTCCGCCGACCAGAACGCCTTCGTTCTGACCCTCGACGGCCTCCCGGCGGCCGACGGCCAGCTGTCCTTCACCGCGGCTCCGGAGGGTGACGGCGCCGTGACGGAGGGCGGCCTGACTGCCGCCCTGAACAAGGCCCTCATGTTGGCCGAGGAACACGTTCGCCAGGCGGAGGATGACAGAGGGGTCAGCTGGCCGAGCAAGATGCCGCACAATGGGCAGGACAACAACGTCAACAGCGATGAGGATTTGCCCCTGCGGCTGCCCGTCGCACACGAGCCCACGAGAGAGAGGGGGCGTGGGAGAGGAAGGGGGCGGGGCGGCGGTCGGGGCAGATCGCGGGCGAGGGGCGACGCAGAGGAGGAGTGGACGCCCAGTGGTGGGTTCTCGGCTAAGCGTCCCATCAAGGCCAAGAGGCCACCGCCCACACCCCCACCCGCACGACACGAGGACGAATCATCCATAGACGATCCGCATGACGACGAGGCGCCCTCGACGCCATCCGCCGCCCCGCCACCGCCCAAAGCCCCTCGCAAACCGGCCAAGTCGGCTGTGCCGTCGCGGCCACCGAAGCGCATCGCCCCGTCCAGCCCCCCGTCGCCCTCGCGCAATCCCTACCCCCTTCTGTTCAACCTCCACCCCCACAAGATCTCATCTGACGCCACCTACGTGCTGGAGGGCAATAAGCTGCAGCCGCGGTTCGAGGCCCACCTGCGGAACATGTTGATCAAGGACAACCAGGGGTTCTTCGAGAGAGACCCGGCGATGCGGCGTCGGTTCGCGGCGCAGCACGAGAGAAAGGAGGGGCTGTGGCGGGCGATGGAGGTGGTCGCGCGGCTCAAGCGGGCGGACCCGGTGGAGAAGGGACTGATCTTCCAGAAGCTGGAATCGCACGGCAAGCAGAAGACGCCTACACGTAAGGCGCACAGAGAGAAGGAGAGAGAGAGAGAGAGAGAGAGAGAGAGCGCTTCACTCGATGCGCATGCGTCATCACGTGTGTGTGGTCGTGTGTAATGTCATTCAGTGGTTCAGAATCGTTTCCTTCGTCATGCGCACGAGGGCGTGTTGACCAAGAAGGAGCAGCAGGACTTCGCCACTAAGCTGCTGCTCAAGCTAGCGGACAAAGCACCTACCTGGGCCAACGCATACACAAAAGGTACACAGCACAGCACACCGCAGACGACACACAATGGACACACAAGGGGCACACACACACACACACACATTGGTCTGACTTTGTGCAGCATTGGGTCACCGGTACATCAGCTGGTCGCGCAAGGAGTCCGGTTACGTTGTCAAGGTGAGCCACAACGGCATGTCGCGTCAGGACGTCCTCAAGCCCTTCAACCGCAACGCACACGCGCTCCTCGACGCACTCAAGAAGGCCTGTCAGTCCCGCGACGCCCTCGCGTGTGAGGTGGGCATCGTCCCCGGCATACCTGTAGACGAGTCGCCTGACGAGTCCAGCAGCGACGATGACAAGCCCATCGCCATGCCACACATAAAGAAGGAGAACAATGACACCAAGAAGCCACCAACACAATCGTCGGCGGCCAAGAGAGTGCGCCGCGCCGTCACGGAGGAGCAGTCCGACAGCATGCTGCTGCGGCGCGACAAGCGGCGGTGGAGCGAGCCGGCGGGCGCAGGGGGCAGCTCGCCGCCATCGTCCCTCAGCCTCATCCAACAGGTGGACAACGAGATCAAGCGCCTGAGGGTGACCTTCTCGGGCAGCCTCTACATGACCCTCATGCGGCGGGAGGTGCGGGACGGCGAGCGCGCCAGCATCCGTGTGGCGGTGCCGAAGCGCGTCGACGAGGCCAGTGGCGGCAAAAAGGGCGAGCGGGACACACAGACGGTCCACGTGGTGCCGGGCAAGACCGCCCAGCAGATCATCCAGGAGGCCATGAACGTCCGCCACGCCCTCCTGGCCAAAAACGGCGTCGCACCACGGGCCCCTGTGGACGACGGCAGACGCCTGCGGCTCGGCAGCAGCCGGCAGCCGAAGAGACGCCTCAAGAAGGAGGGGGCTGCCGCCGATGACGAGGCGCAGATGGAGCCATCCAAGCGGGCGCTGGCAATGCCGGACGAGGCCGAGGATCAGGATGAGGGCGAGGGTGGTGAGCTCGAGGGAGACGAGGGCGGCCCTGTGCCCCTGGCACCGCCACGGAAACCCAAGATGCGTCGGGTGTCCCGCGAGTCGTCCTCCATCACCCAGCAGAGCGAAGACCAGCCCATGCTCCCGCCACACCCTGACCAAGATCAAGACGAGGACCTCTCACCCACGGCTGCTGCCGCAGCACACACCGAGCAGCCCCTGCTGCCCCTCCCACTCATCCCCGCCGTCAAGCGCAAGCCCGGCAGGCCACGTAAGCACCCGTCACCTTCGGACGGGGGCGAGGGTGCCGGTGTGGTGTTCGAGAAGTCACCTTCCAGAGGGCGGGGCCGTTCGTCGCGTGGCAGGGGGCGGGGTAGAGGTAGGGGTGGCGTGTCGGCTGGGCGGGGGCGCAAGAGGGGTCGCGGCACTTCTCTTCCCACTGTGCTGGAGGGCGACGAGCAGCAGCCTGAAGGCGCCATAGCGATGGACATGCAGCGGTCCCCTGCTGCTGGCGAGGGCATGGAGGGCGAGAACGAGGGCATGGAAGGAGTGGAGGGCTCCCCTGCCGCTGCTGTTTTGGAGACGGCCAGTCCATCGCAAGCCGGCCGGGCCCCCCAGCCGCCCATCGCATGGCACCTGACTCCCCATGAGCCCCTGGCTTACGAGCACCTGCTGAGCTGCACCCGGAGCGCCATGAAGGACATGCTCAAGCGCGAGCAGGGGCGGGACCTCGGCATGAAGATCTGCAAGCTCTCCCTCTCGCGCAAGGTGGTCATTGCCGTCAAGGCAGTGGGCGACAGTGACGAGCGGCGCTTCGAGGTCATGGGAGACACCTACATCCACGTGCAGGAGGCCATCACGGCGGCCACCAGCTACAGAGACGAGATAAGAGCGTTGGCGGGGATGGGATTAAGGGGCACGGAGGGCGGCAGCGAGCCGCTCGCCGAGCCGCCCCCATTCGCCGAGGCAATGGCGGCGGGAGTGGCGGTAGGGATGCAGGCCGAGCAGCCAGACCACAGCCCTGCTGCTGGCCCTGCAGCCGCCGGTGATGATATGCGTGATGGTGATCAGCCTGGTGCTGCGAGTGTTGGGGGTGCCGTACCTGCCCCCATCTCCGCCCCCGGTGCGTCTGTGCCGTTTGGTGAGGTGTCGACCGACCAGTGCAGCGGGCCATCGGAGGCAAACGGGGTCAAGGAGGACACACACACGCAGCACAAGGATACTGCTGCTGCTTCTGGGGGTGGTAAGTATCCCGGGCGGGCGGAAAGAGAGAGGGAGGCACTGGTGGAAAGGTGCGGGCAGAGGTACATGTGTTGTGTTGTGTTGTGTGTCTTTCAGGTGAGGAGTTGCCGTCACAGGCTGCTGCTGCTGCTGCTGCCGCTGCCGCTACTGTTGCTGCTGATGGTGGCAGTGGCAGTGGTGGTGGTGCTGGTTCTGCCGCAGACGATGTTGTCATGGAGGGACCACCGTAGACGTACATTATGGATAACATGCACACGTACACACACGCATACAGAACCGCAGTTTGTTGAGACCCACACACACTCAGTCACTTTGCTTTCGCCGTCTGTGTACACACGTCTTTGTCGCCTCGATGGATGCTGTCTGTGAGGGATTGGTGGATCGGAAGGGGGCTGCTGTATTTCGCTTGCGCGGTTCTTTTTTCACTGCCTGCGAGAGGGACTGCGAGAGGGACGGGGGGAGAGATGTTTGTCGGCTGTGTGCTGGCAGGCAAATAGACAGACAGGCAGGTTTGACTAAGTGAGTGGAGAGGGAGGGAGGGATCTATCGCTACCAGTAAGGGACACAGGGAGACAGAAACGGGTTCACTCGTTGGCCTGGCTGCATGGCTGGATGAGTGGATGCGGTGTGGATGCGTTTGTGTGGTGTGGTGTTTAAAGGTCCGGGTGTACGAGTGTGTGGTCACAGCGGGGGAAACAAGAGGGAGGGAAGAATGGGTCGGCTTGCCAGGACTCCAAAACGATAAGTCGTGTGCGTGGGTTGGGTATCAAATCAACCAGCGGTCCGTATTTCCCATTCACTCATCCAAAACGAATAAAACGAGTAAGAAGAGCTCGAGTCTCTCGCTAAAAGGACAAACCAGCCGAGCAAGCGACACATCAACACACAGTAGGTTCATCATGCAGCCACCACATCATGACTGCAGCAGCGGTCCATGGTCGTCAGTCAACGTACCACGCATCCACCCACCCTTCACGCCAGCTGCGTCACACTGGATGGATGGATGTGCCGTCTCTCAGAAGAGCACAGACAAATCTAGCGCAAAGTGCAAGGGGAACCCTCAAATGCGTCAGCAGCAGCAGCAGCAGCAGCAGCGTCATGTCATGCGTGGGAGGACAGAAACGACGGTATGCCTGCCTGCGCCTGGGCATCGTTCGCTTATCGCACACGCGTGACCCCAACTGGCTCTATCAAGTACCGTACTGCCCGTGGTGAGCTGATGTGTGCGTGAGGCCAGGTGGGCGTCGATTCCGCCTTTCTCAGTATGAGCCAGTCAGTCAGTAAGCGGACGGCATGGCATCAATGCAGCACATTGCAGGCAGCACATCGTCCACGTATGAGTCAGTCGGTCAGTGTGTAGTGCAGCCGCGCCACATCACATCACATCACAGCACACCACATAATTCAATGCAGCCGCGGCAGAAAGGCAGACAGACAGCCAGACAGCCAGACAGAGAGACTGCCAGACAGACAGAGAGGCGACACGACAGACAGACGTTCTCTAAGAAGAAGTCAACTCTTGCCGCAGTGGTCGGTGTGTCCGGATGGCACACGCGTGGCAATGGCGGCAGACATTCGACGCACACCAGACAGCCAGCCAGACAGAAAGACAGCCGGCCAGACGAAATGGACACAGCAACACACGAGGCCACACTGACGGCACCATGCGCCACACACACTCGACCGACAAAGCAAATGACCGATCAGACCAAACAAACGCCCCGCCGCACACAAACCGAACAGGTGGAAAAAAAAGGAAATGGTCCATCCATCCATCCGCTGTAGCATCGAAGGAGTCGCCAGCAGGTTATCGGTGGCGACCTCGGCTTGACATGTCGAGGGAGAGACGGAGTGAGGCTGCATGCACACATTCAGAGAGAGAGGGAGGGAGGGAGGGAGGAAGATACCACATGGCCGGCCTCGTTCATTGGTCCGTCCCCCTTGTCTGTTGGGCTCACCTTAGTTGGACTGAGTTGGGCAGCATCAAGAGGCCGGCCAAAGCGACCATTACGACGCCCGCGTTACCTGACAGGACACACACGCACACAGAGAGAGACGCCAAATGAGTGGTTAGGTCATATGAATGGTCAGGTGAGACATTGACGCATCCGGCCTCTCTCTCTTCACCTTGGGCTTGGAAGAGGGACCGTAGCAGCTCGGACACGCCGATGTCGACGTCGGCTCCCAGGGGATTGTTGGCTGTGATGCTCAGGGAGCTCTTGAGCTGGCCACCAAGAGGGACCCCTCCATCTTGAGCGGCGTGAAGACCCGTCAGCCTTGTAGGTGCCCGCACCGCCAGCTGCAGGTCCTCCCCAGAGGACCGATCTGCCCGCGCATATGTGCCCAATCGACGTGCCACTTCTGTGCTGGTCGTCTGGCGTCCTTGCGGTGGCCGGTGGGATGACGGATGGGCGCCCTCTTGGCCTTGCCCTGGTTGCAAGGTGGGCAGGCAGGCTTCACCGGGATGTTGGTGATGGATGGGTGGGCAGCCGCGGAGGACCCTCGACAGCTCCGGCAGCTCTGAGAAGCCCTTGTGGCCCGCACTGGTGTGTAGGTCCATGGCGTTGAGTAGGTTCTGGCGCTCCTTGCCAGTCATGAGCATGTCTGGCAGTTGCCTGTCTCCGTCAGCCGCGCACCCGTCGGTCTCGCACTCGTCCGTGTGCTGCCCACCGTCACCGTCACTCTCATCACCGCTCGAGTCGCTCGAACACACTTCCTCGTGTGTGTGGCCCCCACCAGTCAGCAGCACATCTCATGACGTCACCATGGCGTCGCCCACAGTGACGCTCGCCGCCATCTCCTCAGCCCTCTTGTCATCGGCCTCTGTCCACGGCCGCATCATCAGGCGGTAGCCGCCCGCCACACACGTCAGGGGGACGACACGCGTCTGTCGTATGCCGTCGATGTTCACCACATACCAGTAGAGTTGGCCTCTCCAGCGACCTTGTGAACACCCCCACCCCTTGTGTGCAGTTGGCGCTCGCTGATGAGGATGGCTGCGCAGTCGGGGGCGACGTACACATGACTCAGCTTCATCGGCAACTCGACGCCATTCTTGTCCTTGATGACAATGAGAGCGTCGCCCCTGCACTCCATGTGGAGGTCCTGGCCTTCCTTGGCCGTCTTGATGCTCAGCCCCGGCGTGGGCCGTTCCGAGCCCTGGATGTGCAGCGATGCGCCGCCGTCCATGACGGCGGCCTGACTGCCCCCGTCCAGCAGCAGTGCGACGCTCTTTCCCTCACACACATCGGGCAGCTGCAGACGGTCCTCGTCAAAGTTGAGTCGGGGCCGACCGTCAGCTCAGTCCGGGTGAAGAATGCAGAGTCGTCTGGGGTGATGCGGGGGGGCGGACCAGACGGATGGAGTGGTGTGAGTGAGTGCTCGAGTGCTGCAGCCGGGTCCGGCTCCTCAGAGAGGGCCAGCCTGGCCGCATGATTGTTGCCCCCACCCCTCTGCCCCCACCGCCCTTGTCGGCAGGTTGCCCGGCTGGGATCTTCCAGCCCTGTGCGATGAGCTCCGCCCGCCACTTGCAGCAGCGGTAGTACTCGTGGTCCTTGCCGCACCGCAGACACAGGCCCGCCTTGGCCCACTTGTCGAGGTCTTCCTGACTGACGCCGTCGGTGGTCCTGGGCTTCATGATGCTCTCGTGGTTCCCGGGCCCCTTGTCGGTCTTGCCCACACCTGACGACTTGCCCCCACCAGATGATGATGCCGCAGCGCCTTGCTGCTTCCTCTGGCCTCCACCGCCATCCGACTGCTTCACCATCCATTGCTCGCCTGGACCGGCCTGCCTGCCGAACCTGCCGCCATTTGAGACACCTGTCGATCGTCCAAACTCAATCATCGAATAGTGGCCCCTCTCCACTTCGAGTGCTGCCCTCCTTGCGATAAGCCATCCCCCGCCCATCAGTGGCCGTAAGCCGATGCGATCAGATGGTTCACTTCCTCGATAAGGGGCTGGAGGCTGATGTCACCTGGTCGCTCGCCAAGGGGCGGAATGAAACGCAGGCAGGCAAGGGCGATGTCGAGGTCCAGCCTCCCTCCTCTGGTGCTCTCCTGCGCCGCAGTGGCCTCGATGTCGCGTATGAGGTGCTGATGCACCCTCTCCAGCTCCTGGAGCCCCTGGGTGCGGACCCGCGACATGGCCGCCGCATCGGTGCCTCGCGCCTCAGCCTTCTGCTGCTCCCGCACGGCTGTGATGCGGCTGTGGAGGGTGGTGGGCTCGGCCGCATGCCATGGATGGGACCATCCCTTGAAGCTCTCGCACCATGAGGGATGGCCGGCGAGGGCGCACATGGCCACCGTCATTGCCGTGCCGTAGACGTCGGTGTAGGGGCTGTCGGGAGCGATGTCCTCGCGGGCGGCTTCCTTCAGCGTGCAGGACAACGGCACGAAGGTGGGAGGGATGGCCATGAACAGGCCGGGATTGGCCGCGTCGACCGCCTGATTGCGCCGCATCTCCCTCACGAACTCGTGATCGATGTGGACGACATCGATGCCGTGTTTGCCGCCAGTCGTCGCCATCAGGTTGCCGCCGTGATCCTCCGTGGATGAGCAGCACCTCTCCGCCATCCCTCGTCCACACTGCCGGCAGATGGGTGGCAGGGATGGTCTCCTCGTCGTTGGTCTGCATCGGCAGCTGGCCGAGTAGGGGCGAGTAAGGTTTGGTGGGCGGGAAGCCGTCATCCTCGGAGGCGGCCTCGGGCATCTCGTGGGCCTTCTTTGGCTTCGAAAAGCCATGCATGACCTCAAGGGCGCGCAGGAGGCATCGGTGCAGCGCTTCAGGGGCTGTGGCGGCGACGGCGTCGAAGAGTGCGGTTGGTATGGGCTTGCCGTAGGAGCGCTGGAAGGCTCCGAGAGCGGCTGCGGGGTCCAGCTGCTGCTTGTTGGCGAGATTGATGGCCGCTCGAAGGAGGGTGAGCTGCGTCATGTTCGGGGCGTCACAACCACCAAACTCTGCACCGTCAGACAAAGCATTAGCACCTCATTTCGACCCAGCCACACCCCCCTTTTTGTGTTGTGCTTACTGAGGAGCTCAACGGCATAGAAGGGGCCGGTCAGCCGAAACTCAAACGTTTCCTCTCCCTCGGCCATCGACGTGTAGCTCGTCAAGTCGGGCAGCTTCAGGCGGACCTTGAACGGAGCGGCCGCACTGACGAAGCCCCTCGACAGCAGCTTTGGCGCCTCCAGCTGTCCCTCCAGCCTATGCAGCAGCTGTGCCTCGTCCTCCACCCCCCTGAAGGAGACGACGTTGGCGTACCTTCTGCCGAGCTTGTCGCTCATGTCGGCGCCCATGACCTGCAGCAGGCTGTTGGGGGTCCGCACCTTGACGATGCACTCTTCGCCAGCGAGGGTTGCCCTGAGCGACATTGTTCGGGAGTTAAAGAAGTACTCCCCGGTCAGGTGGTGCTCGCTGATGTCGATGCGCTTCTTGTTGTAGGTCCGCACGGCAGACGGAGAGGGCTGGCTCTGTGGCACGTGCTGTTCGGCAATGAGCGGCGCGGGGGCGGCCTCAGCGTCGGTGGCTGATGCAGCGGCGGGGGCGGACTCAGTGACGAGGCTGACAGGGACCTCCTCAGCGGCGTCTTGAGACCTACATTGCATGACGCACACACACATATGAGACAACACGTGACTGGGTTGGTGTTCACACGCACCTTCGTTGAGTCGTGGTAGCACCGGCCGGGTCTGGGGGCATCTCCAGGGTCGGTGGTGCCGGTGCATCAGCAATCGGGGCGGGCGGCGCAACGGGCTGCTCCTCCTCCTGCTGTGCTGCTGGGTCTCATCGGCTTCGCTGCCGTTTCGTCTTGTTTCGCCCTCCTCGGCAGGCCGCCTGCTGACCCCCTTGTCATCCTCCCCCTGACGCAGGTGCTCCTCTGCTAACATGAGGGCCTTGTTGAGGGCGGCAGTCAGGCTGCCCTCCGTCACGGCGCCGTCACCCTCCGGAGCCGTGGTGAAGGACAGCTGGCCGTCGGCCGCCGGGAGGCCGTCGAGGGTCAGAACGAAGGCGTTCTGGTCGGCGGAGAAGCGGAGGATCTCTTCGGGGTGAGCGAACTTATCACGCAGGAAGGCGTTGTTCTGCTGTGCCCATCGGTGATGCAGCAGGGCCATGGCCATGGCTGTGGTGGTGTCTTGGCAGGTTGACGTGGCGGGCTGCTGTGGGTGCAGCAGGTGGGGGAGGGCCGGGCTGACCATTGGGGAGCCACTGGTGGGAATGGGATGAAGGTGAGAGGGGTGGGGGAGGGGGAGTGGTGGGGCTGGACCACCGCTAGACGCAGCAGCTGCTGCTGCAGCGAACGAACCTGAGGGCAAACCATGACACACGAGAGATGAGTGGAGTTGACTGCTTTTCGATCGCTTCCCATTGCTTACCATGCTGATTGTTCTTGTCGTCGGCGATCTGCGTGCCACCCGTGGCCGATGGGGGCGGTGTCCTCTTCCCGCGGCTCCTCGGTGAGACGATCGTCGGCAACCGTGGGCCCAAACCACTTGACGCCTTGGGCGGCCCGACCTCCCTCCCAATGCTCATGTGGCCCTCGTGCGCCCGCATCACCTCCTCGGCTGACGTGGGCATCGGATGCCCACCCGCGCCCATCGAGCTGGCTGCTGCTGCTATTGGCACCGGCGGCGGTTGCATCATCAGGTGATGCGGCGGCAGATACATGCCCTGTGGCATGACGAAGGGCGGGACGAAGTATGGATGGGGTGGGGGTGGGGGGAACGCCATGGCTGGGTGTGGCCGTGGGGAGTGAGAGGGGTGAGAGGGGTGTGCGGGTGACGTTGTGCAGTTGGCGTCGTTGCCGGGGACGACGCCCACCTCAACCGGATCTTTTGAGGGCGGCAACACGGGAATCCTTGAGGCCGCTGAGAGAGACATCCGCGCGTCTACCTGAGGGAGGGAAGAAGCAACACCGATGCGCGTGTGCATGAGCCCATCCACTAATGCCTCCCCCCTCCCTCCCTCCGTACGTCATGATGGTTATGCAGCTGCGATGAGGGCACTGGAGTCCCCAAACGGCCCATGTGGACACCGCCTTCGACAACAACAACGGGGTCATGCCCTCCGGCTACTCCCCGGCGCCGCGCAGGGGAGTCGTGCTGCTGCATGGCAACGTTAGCGG